GCAGTATGCTTTCAATATATCATAACAGCAAATCTTTATTGGTAGTCAGATGTTTCTATTACAAGTATAGGCTTACTTATGCAAAACGGTACATTGAGACACGTTAGCCTGAAACGATCGCTTGGCTTGTACTGATACCTACCATCGATGCTTTCAGCGAAAGCTGCTTTCAGCTTCGCGAGACCAGCATCGTAGCGCCACAACGTGCGAAGTCACGCTACCGCTGCAGTTTCAGTTCACGAAACCGTCAACGGATGACGATCGGTGCCGGCCGCTAGTCTTTCGGAAGAGTAGAGGAGAGAAGGATAGTACCACTCTTGTTCTCTGCCCGGGAAGAATGCGGGGAAAAAGGACACTCCACGGAAATAAGCTGAGAACTTACTGTATCAGCCCAACGGGGCAGCGAGATTTTATTGTCATCCAACGCCATCACTTTCAGATCTTTCGTCACAGGATTGCTTTTTAGAATGGGTCCAAGCGTGCCCTTGACGAAATCACTGAATGAGAGAAAAATGAGAAGAATTCTGACAAGGTCGTTCAGGTCAATAAGCGCTTCAAAACCAGTTTGTTTTACTAGGTTGTCCCAAAAATTCAGGCGTTTTCAAACTGCAGTTTTGACCAACAATATATAGGCCATTTTTGAGGTACTTTCAAAAACCGTTTTTACCCAGAAGATGGCCGCTGTGGGATTAGTTTAGATGGCGATCGGAAAGAGCTAAGTCAGGGCTACACGAAGACTGTGGTGGAATTCCCCAGCTAAGCTTCAGGATCTCGAGCAGTATTATTTTCCGAGCTGTGAACGAATAGGCAAACATTGCTTGGTTGTGAACCAAATGGTGGCAATTTCATCCCATTTGCAGTTGATAACAGTAGGGTTCGCTGGTTACCACAGGGCTGAGAAGAAGAAATAATCATTAAGGAAGAGAGAAAAAACAACCACATACACAGTTTCACCTGCCCTACTGGATTGATAGGATTGCGCGACCGGTTCTGCCCTTTCTGGGGATCTAGCCACTGGCGCTTCCGGAGTGATTCACCTAGAGACACCTCCTCCATATCCAGTTGCAACGTTGTTCATCCAGTCCGTATGGCGGAAGCGGGAGAGAAGTTGTAGACAGTACCCACAGTGCTCCCCTTGGAGTATCGGTCAACTCATGAGAAAAAATTTGACCGAACTTCAATACTTTTTGAAGGGAGCGAGGCCCTCTGTCATTTGTGCTTTGTCAAGTGTAAGGACTAGATAGCGATTTGATGAGCACAATTGGTTCTAATCAAGAAAAGTCCTGGTTCTAATCAAGAAAAGTCTAAATCCAAGGCAGGTGGCCTCACTGGACGAAGTTTTTCTCCCAGGTAGAAGTCACTCAAGCGAAAGCGATCGGGCCATTTCAACGCCGTACTGTGGAAGGTACCATCAGGACCTAACTCAGAGAAATGCCGCTTGTGGCTCCAACCACGTTGTGGCTTGGTGGAGATTCATATAGCGAAGTGTGTCGAAAATGATGAATTTCAATTACCGTTACAGCGACTGCGAGGGACGGTAAAACAACTGTGGGATGCTCACCTAGCAAACTTCCCATTGACCACATAACTGGATCTCGAAATAGCTGCGGAAAAATTTTATAGATT